AAGAAAACAGAATGGGGTTGATCAAATATGATAAAAGCTTTCATAATTTGAGGTTTTGAAGTTTGCTATATTGCTGCAAGGTCATATACAGCCTAATCTAGTGATAACACCCTGTCACACTTCTAATACGTTTAAAGCATGACAGATGTCCATGGTCTTTCTCCGGCCTTGGAGAAACGAGCCACCTAATCAGTGTGGCAAGCCTTCTGCAGTGGGTCATAAAATGCAAATATATGCCGTTCATAATACTGCCCTCATTCATCTCAGAGAATAGTACCAATCATAGATGGAGGACCGTTTTTGATTGATTCTGAAGAAACAGTGGCTACAAGGAGGTATGACCAGTCTTGAGAAACCCCTGCTTGGATACAAGATAAGCTTATCAAGGCATCTGTTATCACGCTGTATGTCAGTTTGTTTGTGAGTTTGTGATCTAACATGGATGTAACATCGTTACCAACACTTCTAACTGGGTGTTTGTGTTTGTCTGTGTCCACGCACGTGTGTGTGACTAAGATAACTGTTTGCAGAAGCTTTATCAGTCAGCAAACACAAAGAGCTATTCGGTGCACAGAGAGTCACAACAAAGGGACAATTTAGCGCAACAAAGAAACCTCCATCCTGGAGGCCATGCCGGGTGCAAATTGGAACGAAAGCCCTCCCATGTGCTGGTATTATAAATTTAGGATAGGATGCTAAATTGGAAGCATAGGTACAACAAGACAGTGTGCTCAGTTTCTCTGGTAAACAAGACAAATGTCAAAATAAAGCATCAGTTTGCCATAATTTTATTTTTTCCCTGTTTACACACAGTGATATCCAGCTGTACATGTGCTTATAATACTTACTCATATTTAGAGATATCAGCTGACACATTGCTTGCAAAGGTCCTGAAGTGTGTAACACAACAACAGGTGAAAAGGTCCAGTTTGGTGACTAGAACTCGCTGAAGTGGTAGTTCGGATTGACGCAGCATCTGTTGCAAAGTGAATGCTTTACTGCTCTGTTGTGGCAATTTACTGGTCGATCCACGTTCCTGGCCTCACTTATGACCATGAGCTGTGAGTTGGGACCTAATGAATGATATTGCAAATAGAAGCAGATGAAAGAAGTCTCTTCCAAGGTGTATTAAGACTTTCCCCCAGAGAGAGGGTTTATTTTACTTGGGAACACAGTGCTATTCCCTAAGAAGTGATGGATGGATATTTATGACAACCGCCTGTGCTAGTACGCCAATCAATACAAGTGATCTTACCCCTTTAAGCCTTAGATTAGCTCCAGAAACCAAAGATGCATTTTGTAACAGGCTGTAAACATATCATTTTCTGAATTAAAGTTGGGAATTTTAAAATAGTAGTCTGTGGAGAAGTGTAGCAGCTATATGAGGAACTGGAATTTGCTTCCAAGTTAGCTTCATTTTTCAGCCTTTTATTTTTCCATTTTAGAAGATCATTAAAATGTGCAAAAGGTTTTAAAGGATGAAAGAAGAGACTGATTCAGTTATATAGGAACATGTTATGGGACTATCATATAGGATTTTCTATAATCTGAGGCAGATTATCCAATGGATATTCTTGGCACAAACTCAGGGGCTCACACACAGTTGAGGTTCTTCCTCCTTTCATAATGAATAATTCTTTATTGTTATTAAAACAGTTTTTATTTTTTTATTTTTTTTATCATAAAGTAATTAAGTAATTGGTCTCTGTTAGTCTCTCCCAAACTCAGCTGGGTATCAAAATAAATGAACAGAATAGAGGCTGGGTTAGCAAATAAAAGAGGAAACAAAAAAGAGGACAGGGTGGGGACTCTGATCTGTCATTTTTATGGAAATTACCAACTGACAGTTGTTTTGTTCAAAATCAGAAAGAAAAGATTGCAGTTCAAATTAAAGTTGTTATGGAAATGTTCAGCAAGACATCAAGCATGTTAATTCAGAGGCTCACAATTATGGTGGTTTACTCTATTATGAAAAAGCTTGGGAAGCTGATTTATTATTTAATACAGCTCTAAGTTCATGATATGGATATGCATGCAATGCAGTTCTTCTCAACAGATAACATTAAACTATCATTTTGGCCTCTCAAAGCACACTTGAAGGAAGTGGAAGGTTGACCAGTGTTTTTTTGAAATGCTTTTTTTGTTTGTGGATTTTTGTTGGTGGTGTTTATGGTGTGTCCTGCACCTCAGGGCCACTACGCCTTACACTTTAAAACCTCATCCCTTTCTACAGTCAGTGCACATATTGCCCTAAACCAAGCTACTGAGTATAATGCTAAGTTTTAGAAAGTTGTTCCAATGAAAACTGCCCGTGGCAAGGTCTTTCATTTAGCAAGATTAAAGAGGGACTGACTCTAGAAAGGTAAACAGTTGTTTACTTTTTTGCATTAAGTTAAATGCTGTAAGTAAGAGAAACTATATTATGCCAATCTTTTTATATTTTAGTAATTAAACAAATATTATATATCTTAAAAACTGCAACCCCCCCCCCCCCCCCAAAAAAAAAAAAAAAATCATCTTTTTTGTCATTCAGATTGATCTGAATTTAATATTAGCATTTATGTATTTACAGATCAGACATGAACACATTTTGAATCTCCAGGTACTCACTGAAAAACAAAGGGTTGTTGGTGCTTCTGTCTAAGGAAACAGTTGCAGCCCTGAAAGAATAGTTGCGTGGCATGCAAAAGGCATACATCCTGTATGCTGGGATGGGATTATAAAACCTGAATCACACACACTCGTGACTCTCAGAATACAATGTCATCAGCGCTGATGAATGCATCCGTGAGATAGAATGAGCTGATCAGTGGCATCGGCCCAACCCTTCAAAACATACAGACTGAGAGAGAGTGAGAGCCCTGAGTCAAACAGGCTAATCAAGCACACAAAAGGAAATGCAGATTACCTGTTGCTATGACGACTGCAGCTGCAGTGTGACTGCCATCCTCTCTGACAGAGACCTAAATAGATCAAGCTTTATAAACATGGTGAAATTTGAGATTGCTTAGTGGGCCAGGTGCTTTCTCAAAACCTGCTTTGAATGAGCGTAGCTACTTTATTTTAGCCACATGATGCACCCTCATGATCCAATGACATATGCTTGCTTGTATCATTATACTTGTACTTGTTGGCTCGATGTTTCAACATACTCAGACAGTTCGATCTGAAAGTGAATGCAAATATGGAGAACTGTGTACAGTATTTGGACAGATGTGTCAAATTTTGTGTGTGTTGGGCCAGGTGAGAGTCACAGAAAAGACCCCCACCCCCTTCCCTCCTCTCTCTAACACCAACCCTGCCTCCACCCCATCTACCAGGGTAACCCCCACCGTGTCACCCCCCCCCCCCCCCCCAACTCATCATCATCATCATCATCAGGCGCAAGCAGCTGGCAGCCTGCCCCATTTAACTCCCTGCTGCACTACTGGGCTTGGCTAATCACTGGTGCTCAGCTCCAACTGTGGCCACCACACCTGCCCCCTCACTGGTGGGATTGTCCCATCTGGGACCTTATCATAGGGAATTTCCGGGGGGGCTTCTTCTCTCTGCTGCTTTATGCCCAAAAGACATAGGTGCAGTGAGTAGGGGGAGAAAAAATAAGACATCAGTGATAGGGGTCAAGTGCTTTCAGTGATCACTTTCAGTCTTACTTTAAGTTCAGATTGACTGTAAAGACAGAGATTCACTCTCCAGTATACACACATACCAGTGACTGTAATAGTTAAATATATATAACGCTTTATTCAAAAATATTTATCAAGTTCTTGATAAAATTATGGAATTGGCAGCACCGTTTTCAAGCAATACGCTATGTGTCATGTGAGCTATCATCATTAGCAGGGACCAGATGGTAGGTCCATCATGCACATTGCTTTGCTACTCTGGTATTTGTCTACCTCGTTAAAAATCGCCTTCAAACAGTGATGCCGCGATGATTTATTCAGTTTCACTCTTTAAAAAAAGTGAAATTATTCATCCATATTTGTGCTAACATAGAAAATGCAGTGGAGTAACACACTGAAAGTGGGCTTTCTGTCGAAATAAGAACGGATTTTTTTCCCCATTTGTATACCTCCAATTCCCAACGGATGCTTGTTTTGTATTTTAAAATGAATTAAAGGCATCTACCACTCAGCTGCTGAGGGAAGAGACCATCTAAAACATTCTGTTGTTTCTGCCTTGTGTCCTAAAACACAGTCAGTTGGTGGCATACCCGGGATGCGCTCTCTCACTCGCTCCAAAAAGAAAAAGATTACCTAGTAGCCACATAGAGCTGCTGCTGGTGGCAAATCATATGTTGGGGTTACTTGTCAGCTTTGAGTTCAGTGCAGGCGAAGAAGATTCATCTCCCCTGACACGCGCTGACATAGAAAACTATATTTAGCTTGTCGGCGTACATGCGTAAAGTGACGCTGGCGCAGACGCACGCACGATGGTTGTGGACTGAATACTGATAGGCACGGGCGGATGAAAACTGTACAACGTGTACCCTGGAAATGCTTGAGCTTTTTTCAAAGCACTATTGGGGAGACATGCAGAATAGAGAGGCCAAAGTGGCGTTAACATCCAGTTCAATAAGAGAGCGTAATGTATCCTGGCTGGGCGTTTGAATTAGGCTTCTGAATGTCACTTTAGTTGAAATAAAATATTTCAAATTAACACCATGTATTGTGAAATATAAATACGAAAGGGTTATTGGCTCTTGAATAGTTGACGATGAATATGAATATGATAACTGACTAGTAGTTTGCAATGGTTGCTATAGGGTCACTTCGCTACATGGCCATACAAATTAGTCACGCGGCAGTATTAGTCATAAAATTATTGGTCATAATTAGGGCCACAGTCAGCCTACAGTGGCCTTTTTTTGCTGAGGGTTTTAGGCCTACTGCACTTTATGAATAATGAAAAAGTGACGTAAACAATGCGGTCCTCTTTGCAGCTCGGGCTCGAGGCGGGCGCACAGGCGTGATGCGGTCGTGACGTCGATTGAGTCGGGGATCTTTAATCCTCTGCCGCAGCAGCACAGCCGGTAACCAGAGGAGGGGGCAGAACGGTCGGACAGGAATGGACCGTACAGGCTAGGCTAGTGTACAAGGCCTAAAAAGCTCGGTCTTTAGTCAGATGATAATATCACCGAGTGAAACAGAGATTAGGCATCGAGCGAGCTGACTATTTGCACAGGCCAGACCCCCTCCTCTCAGCGCTGTAGTCTGCAGCCTTTTCACACACACTCTTTGAATAGACCTCATTTAGGAACGCTGGTTAAATATATTCTCGTCGGCATTTCTTGCCTTATTTAAACGTCGAATTTAGTATTTTACATCGGCGGACGGATACTACGCCTCGTCCTACCGGTTTTCCTCCCTCTTTTCGCCTTTCAGCAGCGTCGCCTCGTCCCTGCTGTTTCTGTCAGTTGCTGCGCATCAGTAAAACATGCAGGATGACCCTGTGGGGGTGACAACCACACAGTTACCCCCGTCAACCACGGAAACGGACCGCAGCAGCAGCCCGGTCAGCAAACCCGGAAAGCAGCCGAACCAAACCGACAGGCACAACGACGGCCAGCTGAGCTCGTTCACGCCGGATTATAACCACGTAGAGCAGAAGATAGCTTTCCCTGATCATTTCTGCCCGACGCAGTCTATCTGTGACCTTCAGCACAGCAGAAAAATACATCAGCAGTTAGGTCAGCACACTGAGTTCAGCCCCACAGAGCCGACCCCACCCCAGGGACGTTTCAGTCACCTGCCGCAGAGGCAGCCCTTCTCCAAGACCAAACTCAGCGCCGCTGACCCCCGCGGCTCTCCAGTGGAAGAGGCTGAAGCTGATGCCGCGTCGCCATTGCCCACTTCCGTAAACCTAAACAAGATCCAAATGGACTCCCCTATCGCCCACCATATAAATAACGGCAATGGCAGCAGCAGCAGCACCGGCAACATGTTGTCCGGAGGTCTCGGCGCCGCGTTCCCGAACCTCCCCACCCAGGAGTTGCAGAGCGCCAGTGCGGGTTCGTCTTCACCTTCCCTCCCTGGGTTCGGCACCCCTTGGTCCGTTCAGACCAGCTCCTCTCCCCCGCCCGCACCCAACTCCATCAACCCCATCCACGCGAACGCCATTAACCATATGCCCAACGCGGACTCTGACAACAGCTTCTACCCAGGTATCCCCTCCTCCATCAACCCGGCCTTCTTCCAGAGTTTTTCTCCGGTGTCAGCTAATCCGTGCGCCGGGATTAACGTGCAGGGCTTCAGCGGTCCTTTCTCACCCCAGATAAACGTCCCTCAGCAGCCGCAAAGTCGCAGGTCCCCCGTTAGTCCCCAGATGCATCCCCAGCAGGGCGCCTTCCTGCAGCAGAGGAACAACTACAACCAACATCAGGTGAGCTGCTGGGGAGCATGGCCGGGTCTCCTATTCCCATTAATGTAACTATCATAAGCGAATGTAGATATTAAGACTCTCCAAATCTGTAGCCAATCCATTAGGTCTATAGTTTTGTGAAAGCTGACTGGATATTTTGTCACAATGTAGTTATAAAGCCTTTATAGATTAATGTGTGTATGTGAATTCATGTATAATCTTTACCTTGAATAATAAACTATTTTTATCTTGATGCATAATGACAAATGCATAATGCATTATGCAAGGGCTCAAGTCTACTCTTTAGGCAAAGAGAGGGAGGGGTGAACAGGGTTACAAGGGAGCATCACTGAATCTAGCTGTTGTTCTCTCCTGGAAGCTGGCTGTGGGATGTGGTCACATGGCACAGGGCCATCCCTGCCTTGTGGTGCACTCAGTGGGAATACAAAGGTTTGCAGGGTTTGTTGTCGTAAATGGGTGCTTATATTTGGGTGAAATGAAAAGCGTCCAGTATCTTGGTGGTGTGATGGTTGTCGGTTGCAATGCCCTGAGGAAATGCAGCAACAGCAGAAGCTCACATGAGCAGTCCAGTCATGCAGCAGTTGGGGGTTTGTAGCCTTCAGCTTCAGGTTTCTCCGTAATGCAATTTGCACATTGGGTGTGTGCATGGAAGTATGTATGTGACTGGGTGTGCCTGTAGTGCATGTGTGGTGTTCCTGTTTCACTAACCTTTAGCCCTTTGCTCTGAGTCCTATGTAAATATATTTTCATGAAACCAACACAGACAACCGCATAAAGGTGATCCCCACCATTACGTGCAAGTTCAATTTTAAAGTGAAAAACATAAGAAAATGCTGCATCTTTTCTATTTTGTTAGTTACTAAATGCATATTTTGTGAATCGTGTTTTTTGTATGTGAGGTTTGGTACATTCATTTCTAACAGGACTCTAAAACAGCCTCTTTTCATGTAAATGTCCTTCTAGAAGCAAGTTTTGGTACTCGGCAGCCATCTTGAAATGTCTCTGGGTGCTTATTGGATCTTTTTTGTTTGTTTGTTTGTTTTTTGGAAGCTTCATCTAAACTAACTTTAATTTCAGTGGCAACCAGGACATGGATTTCCCAACAGTAGCTTTAAAAAGAGCGTTCTTTCAACCTTGCTCATAGATTTTTCCATTTCCCTTTCTCAGAGTGCTGAGTCTCTCTCTTATGATTCTGCTTAAAAGCACTTCTGTTATCCTTTTTTTTTTTTTTTTTTTTTTTTTTTTTTTTAGATTATTAACTCTGTTCCTCAAATACAGCACTATTAGAACATGGACGTTGCCAGTGAGTCCAAAGGTTTTCAGTTTACATTAAGCATTGAGTGCAGAAGAAACAGAAAGTTGTTTCTCCTCTGTGTATGATTCACATGTGAGATTAAGCACAATGCAATCCAATGCATGATGCTTAAGAGGGGACCCAAGGTCCAGGTGGAGAGAGACTGTGTGTAAGTTACAGAGGTGGTGTTGCAGCGCACAGGATACTTAGTATTAGTCTTAAAGCCCTAAATCTTCTTATCCAGCCACCCGTTACAGGAGCAGATCAAGCTGTGGCTGTGAAAGGAAAGAAAGGCAAGATAGGATGAAATGGATGTTGTAAATACAAAAAATATTTGTGTATTACAGACATGATAAAGCTCTCAGTTCTCTTTAACTCCATATTATCTTTATGTTTGCACAGCCCATGGTGAAACCATCTCCCTGGGGTAGTCACCAAGGCAATGGCTGGGGCTCCGGGGGGATGTCCTGGGGCCGGGACCACCGCAGAGGGAGCGGCATGGGTGTACCTGGCTCAGTCAGTCACGTCTCACCCCTGAAGAAGCCCTTCTCAAGCAATGTCATCGCTCCTCCCAAGTTCCCACGCTCTGGCGGATCACTGGGGCCTAAGTCCTGGATAGAGGAGAACATGTTTCGCACAGACAGCAACAGCAACACCTTGTTGCCCCTGCAGGTATGTTTTGTAGGATCATTGGTTTGGTGTGTGTGGGGGGTAACAGAAGGGTTTTTGTTTGACAGTGTGAGAATCAGTGGGTTTAAAGGTGGGAAAGAGCTGGCGACAGAGGTTAAATCAATCACACGAATTAGATGTTAGACAAATTAAATGATGAAGGTCTCTGAAGGGATAGTTTTACTTAACTTTACTTGATGAGGTATAAACTAAAAGGGGATAATAATTCTTTCTATCAACAGGAGAAACATAAGCAAGAGTTTTTAGATCTGAGGATCTCGGCTGGGCTGCTTTATTTTCAGGAAGTTAACGCCTTTTGCCACTAAAACTGCTCCTTTGCCAAACTTTAAAAGGTCATATTCCAAGTTGTGGTCTACCTAATGAAAGTATCAGAAATACAGTTGTTTACTTGCATAAAATATTCAGGTTTTTGCTATTATTCAGAAAGACAAGTGTCTATACTATGGTCTTTATATGGCTAATGAAAAGTTACAATTTCACTGGTACTTGCAATGAAACTAATGAAAGTTAAGTTTTCTAGGTAACAAACTCACTCCTTCTTTTCTTTAAATACCTTCTTAAATAGACTTGTTGTGTAATACAAAAGGCCTCTCGAAGAGCAAATGATATTTAAAAGTAGATGTGTTTCTCCCAATGACCAAAAATGTGGGATTTTCTTTTGGGTAGGCATCTGTAGCCTGGCTTGGCAGAACTGACAGTAAACAAGAACGAGGTCGTGTGGAGCAAATGACATCAAAAGAGTAAATGCACATTCCAAATGTTCTCTATACATGTCTAAACAACATATTACCACATCCATTCCCACATCTTCATCAGAAAATTGACACTACAATATGCTGCCTATGTGTCTAATTTCTGAATATTGTCACGTTTCTAACATTAATGATATATTTTTTGTGTACTTAAATGAACTGAGGGACTCTATGATCATCAGTGCATCTACTTTCCCCTTTTAATGCTTCAGGGTCCAGATGGTCATCGTTTAGTCATATTTTAATCACATCGTTCTAATTTTCCTGCCAAAAACAAAATTCCCATTTGTTCACAAAATTGGATTAATCTTTGTCTCTTTCGTGTCGCTGATACAGTGTTTTTCCAGGCTCAGAATGGGCCTCTGTGGGATGACTAAGTACAGTGACTTACCTAATTTAACAAAATTTTCCTTTTTCTCACTATTTCTTAAACAAGAACGTCTGTTGTGTGTGTTAGTAAATGAAATCCCAATTCACAAAACTGATTTAGGAAGATTATTTTATTACAGTTACCTCCTGTGTAGGAAAAATGTTTTTACCAGAACTAAAAACATGAACTGATTTATAACCCCTGAAGACATTTATGTAGTGCCTTGTGCTCGGTTTATTTGTGTATAATTATCTTTAATTAATGCATTGAACCACACACAGAGTCATCCATTTAACTTTTACACGTTGCACTCAGAATGTATCACTTTTGTACAACACATAGCTTATAGCACATGCTTCAGAACCAAGGCTTGCAGCACAATTCAAGTGATGCCCCATATGTCACTTTATATTTTTCTTAAAATTGGACCCAGACACTTGTGATCGTCATAGTAACACACCTCCCGTGCACACACTGAATTAAACCTTGCCTGGAGTTTCAAGTTAGCAATCAAACTTACACAGAATGCAGAAAAAAGCAAAGTAACCTGATGTGGAAGATTGCGAAGCCTAGATCTTTGCCAAGTGTAAAGAGACGTCTGCGTGTGCCGTGAGACTGGTTGCTATTTTCAAAGAACATAATTTGCATTGTGATTTGATGTTTCGATTCTCGTGCCTGCAAAGAAATGGAGTCATAGTCAGGAAAGCCTTCAGAAAATCTCCCCCTGGGATACAGGCACTTTGAACAGTGTTTTACTTGTTTTGAATTGATATTACTGAGTTCTTAGGAACATTTATGAGGCAGTATTGTTCCCTGAAACTCCATGTTTAATATCATTCTTTGTCATAGTTTATCATTTCCAGTGCGACTTGCATTGAAAGAGCTCGGTGTTGCTGTTGAATTCTTCTATAAAATCATTCAGTTATAGGCTTCATGTAAGAGACATTTTAATGTTAAAAACTGCACAGCTTGGACACTCAAAGTGCATCAATTGATTAAAAGTTTAAATGTGCCTTTAAGGACCTCAACACACAATTAATATAAAATCAAATCCACAAAACCTTTCAGATTATGAGCGACTTTGCCTGAATCAATTCTAAGATTAATGCGGGTATGGCCGTGACTCATTCAGACCGATCTAATGATATCACCTTATTAATGGTGTCACCAAATGGTACGACTGTTGCTATGAGCTCAAATTATTAGTATTATCAGTGCCAAGAAGTGCAGCGCTTCCTATTCCAGGAAACAGACGCGACTGCATGGATTGTTAATTTCCATAAACAGTGTCACTACTGGAATTTTTCAGATTCCAAGTCTTTTCCTTCCTTCCTCTCTGTTTAATGTTTGGCAGTCAGTGACAGACTGTATCTCTGCTGTGTCATGTTTTTAACATAACACAGAGGTAAACTGGGGACAAAAGGAACAGCACCTCTGCCTTCAGTTAGCCTTTAGTGGGGCTAGTCACTTGTTGTTTCTCTAAGAAAGGCTGCAAGTTTCCTGCAATTAACTGATGTGATCACCCTAAAATACTATGACGCTAAAGAAAAAAGATCATCCAGCAACGTCAGGTTTCCCATTGCTCATTGTCACCCATTACATCAGTCTTCTTGTTAACACAGAACCCTCCAGAATCCTTGGCCTGTCATGAAAATTACTCAAACTAAATGATCAACAGTAAACAGGTTGCTGTTTAGCACTTCAAAGAAAAAACACGTGCACTATTGATGTGATGATAGAAATATCACCAAGATTTCTTCAAGCCTGGAATATTTACATGAAAAAATCTGTGAAGGAAAGGGATATTAAAAAAATTAAGCCAATTTAAATTAACTAGTGGTCCGCTGGCAAGCAAAAGGTCCTGGTTCAATTCCAGCTGGAGACACAAATCCCCTGAAAATCCCCACATCCAGCCTGAAATTTGGCCACCCATCCCCTTTGGCAAGGAAGCAGGCAAAAGTCGCTGTCCTTCGTCTCTAAAGTTGGCAGGTTTATGACACATAAAGACCAGTGTGAACCTGTTAATCATTCTCATAATGCAGCAGTGAAAGGGTTTGGTCAAAAAGTTCCAAAACTATTAAAAAGCAAAAAACACTCACTTTAAAGTTGGCCCCCTTCAGGATTGTCTCACTGTGAAGCTCTGCAGCGCTCAAGCACTCCCCAGACTTGAGACAGAGCGCTAAAGTGAACCTCGATCTCAAACTAATCTGCGTTTTTACATCTACCTGAACGTTTTCACATGACAGTGCACTCTAGTACAATGCAGGGAAACCGTTTCTGGTTACACCAGCACAGTTGTCACTTATCATCAGCCGTCCTTGTGAAATTTGACTTCCTGTGATTTTGTCCCCTTACCTGAAATGAAGTTCAAGTTGAAGCTTGACCAACACAAATGCAAGAAGTTGCATGCTATTGCATTTTAATTGTAAATTTTTTGATAGCATTTTGTATTTTGCGCAGTTACCGTGTGATCATTTTCTGAATTACTGTTGCTTACACAGAAGCGACATGCTGCTATTAACTATCATAGAGTTGGGACATTAGCCTGTCATTGTGCTGTGTGTTATAAGGTGGACTTGGCACTCTGGCTAGAATAATAAGATGATCAACTTCACTGTTCTGCTGACAAACTCCCAACCTCCATCTCAGCTCTATTGTGAAATGCCGCTCCTGGTTTTAGTTTCCATTTTCTCTCTTTGTCTGCATCTTGGAAGCAGTCCAGAGAGCTTGGGGAATCCGTTGTGTAGGCTGCCTGTAAACTTACCTTTAGACTCCTGAAGTGAATAAATACGGAAAAAATGTTAATCCGAGCGTGAGGCGCATGTTAAGCCAAATACCCTGTGCTTCAAAGGTTTTATTATTCATAAGCCAAATCCCGAAGGTGTGTGAGAAACGTGAGGATTTATTCGTGCACCGTGACGTTTGTTTGTTTTGTCAAACTCTGGATGATTAAAAAAAGAAATGTCACCTGTATTTTTTCAGGATCGCACCAGGATGTACGACAGTCTGAACATGCACTCCCTGGAGAGCTCTCTGATTGACATCATGCGAGCTGAGCAGGATCCGATGAAAGGTAAGCTGGCCTTTCCCTTTCAGTCTCAGTTCGTGGGGTCAGAGGGAGGCGATCGTGTTCGCGGAGGCAACCCGACATCGTGCAGGGAAGTGACAGGCCCATTGCTCCCAGAGCTGTGCTGTTTTTCCACACACCAGCTTATTTTCTCCGTGCTGAGAGCTTAATACTTGTGCCACCAGCTGCACATTTACATGACCTTCCAGCTCTGATCCTGTTCCTACTTAACCTGAACAGCACACTGATCTGACTCAGAGCTGGAGGTCAGGAAAAAGAGAAACCATGGCATTTTTCTTTACTAATATCAGAAAACATCTGTAACTGTCAAACATGTGTATTTTACACCTTAAAAATATATTAACGGATCTGTGTAACTGCTGAATTATTCCTCACTTCTTGGCAGGACCAAGCAGAGAATTTATCGTAGATCGACACTGTCCTGGCCTCCTGTGCTCAACTGCTGGACATCAGAGGAGCAGTGTCAAATAACAGCTCCTACTGACGGCTGCTCGTAGCTCTTTTACAGCCTGACAAGCCAAAAACACTCTCACTTTAAAATATTACAAAGAAGAAAAACTCATCACTGGTTAAAAGACAAACAGTTGAGGTTTGCAAACACGTATAAAATTTCCTGTGTGGATTTTCTCATTTGCAGTTGGCTAAGATTATTACTCAACCTGCGCCCTCCTTTCTTGGGCGAGTTTCTTGTTTTTCCTGCCGGAGCAGATGGAGAGGACACGGGCCAGTGTGCACAGCAAAGCGTGGGGGGTTGGGGGGGTCTACTCTAATTTTAGATGTGATCACACTTTCACACGCTGCATATGACAGCTAAGAGAGGTGAGATGGAAGGGGGGGTTGCAGGGGTCCGCTCTGCCATTTATAGCACTGACATGGTTAACACAACACAGCATTCTGGATAACGGCTCCAAATGTAGCTTCTCATAAGGCAACACATTTTTAATATATTTGTATCTTATTAGTGACTTAATTTATCTGACATTTCACAATGAATGCTGTGATCTAGAATTTGGTATTTGTGATTTTTGATTCATTAGTACGATTGAGAAACCACTGTAAAACTAAATATGATGGGAAATTGGGTTACTATAACAAGTGTTTTTTTTCCTCAATCGTTTCCAAAGCAGAATGTAAAAAAAAAAAAAGGGGAGAAATTGTCTTGTTCAGCTCAGAACTTGCTAGGTCTTTGCATTAAAATGTTTGTTTGTTTGTTTTTTTAAATGGACGTTGTTATCGCCTTAAATAAAACAAGTAATTCCACTGTAGTTTGGTCGGAAAGCTGAAACAGTATGTGGTCATTTATGGGGGAAAAAAACATTTGCTCCTGTTTGTGCTCAACTTAGACATGTGAAAAGACAGTTGTTTTTTCTGTTTATGTGTGTGCGTGCATTTTTGTGTGGTTATTCCCATGTACATGCATTGGCTTTGCCCTGTCTTCTCCATCTGCTCTATGTCTCATTCCTATTTGTGTGTGTGTTCTCTGCGTGTGTGTGTCTGTTTCTCACATCAGGCCGTGTGGGATGCCCTAACCCCGGGGCTGACGGCCTACTCATGCTCAATGGTAATTATCTCCTAGCACCATCCTCCTGTGTCTGCAGCTCTCATGATGCTCCCACCATTACTCTTTAGCCTCATTAGACGCACTCACTGTGGTGCAATAAGGCCACGCAGTGTCACCTCTGCTGCATCTGCTGCAGAGTATCTGACAGTACCCGTTAAATGGGTTCAGTTTTTTTAACCAGCTGTTCAACTGTTTTGTTGGCATTAAAGTGGCTATGTGGTATAACTGAAAATTTACTGTGCTCGTTTTGTGTAGTACTTGAATGACAAAGGTTGTTCCAGGTTGCCTCCAATTAAATTTTCTTGTGTTAATTAAAATAATTGTTGCCCTGAATAGTCCCTGTGTTTTTGTTTTTTTAGCTTCACATTTGGAGACACATCCAGTTGTCAAAAAAATAAAACCGTGTTTTGTAACAGTATTAGCGAGACATAAATCGGGGTCAGACAACATTTGGGAGTAATTATGAGTGTTTTTAATAAGTTCTGGTTGCCATTTCCTCCTGAGACTCAATAATCAGAAAATAATTTTTGTCCCCTTTTCAACGCCATCTATGCTGCTGTGTGTAATTAGATTTCTTGTCCCTGCCAGAGCATATTTAGGGCTTTGGCCTTTAAACAGTTTTCCTTTTTCTGGTTTTTGATCGCATTTAAAACCTTTTTGTGCAAAATAACAACATTTGTGTAAATGTCATTTATAGGCTTCTGGGCTTTCTGTGTATTGCTTTCATCAAGTATATGACAGATGCAGCCCCTCAGGCTTCCTTGCCACAGCATTTAGGAAGTTTGGAAAAAATAATAATTTTTGTTTTGGGTTTCAGGAGGATTTAAGTCCTTTTTTAAAAGTATCTCAGTTTAGCTCATTAGTCGGTGACTTGAATAAAAGCTGGTTGGGTTGGATCAGCAGATTAAAGTCTACAGTTACAAATGCCCTCTGAGAAATGTTTCATAGCTGAAACTTGCACTCTTGTACTTTTCTACATGCAGCCAGGAGCTATGGGAGGCGTCGAGGTAAATTCAGCTTTCTCTAGCGTGTCTCTTTACTTGTGGCTTTTTCCTTGTGGCATGTGTTATTGCTTAAATAGATACCAAACTGAGGCCTTAAGTCTGGACTTAGACTTCACTGTTTTCTGCTTTTAAATTTGGGAACACAGAATTTTGCTCATCAAATTTCTGATTGACTATAAAAAAAATATACAAAGAAAAATGTGTTGTTTCAGTATCCAGACATACATTAAGTTTAGGGTTTCATGTTTGGTGGTGTTTATAGCCTCTGCTCTATGGAAACCCAAAGTATAAATAAAATAGGTTAGCATGTAGCACTTTGTATAGATTTTTGACTGTGTGCTTAAAATAAGGTCTGTGTTTTACACAAACTTTAGATATTTTCACGTTTTGTTCCCCACTTGTGAATTTTGAAACTGTATCTCAAGTTTTGGTAGCAAACAAAGGAGGTTAGTGATAGTCAGGCTGAAGTCATGCTGCTAGGGTGCAGCTTATTTATACCTCAAAATATGTGTTTTTACTTCTGCCAAATGTATCCACACTTAAAAAAAACTGTGAAAATGGATTGAATATGTGAAGATTATCTTGAAATCACTCGGCACCTATAACGAGGAGCCGCGCAAACCTTTAAAGAGAACCTTTATTTCCCACAGAGCTTATTTTCTGCAGAAGTCCAAAACCCTGTAGAAACATCCCATTGGTTTCTAAAAATAATAAATTATTAAAATATACTAATCTTCTAAAATATTATTATATCATTCATGTTCATAATAACAGTGATTTTATTCCAAAACCCCGACACCACCTGTTTGTTTGAGAAGTTCTGTTATGGACCTCCGAGCTCAGTATTTTAACCATCTACATCTTGGTGTTTCTGAACCAGATGTGCTCGACTGTGAAATGGCAAGCTAACAGGGTAACGACTTGTCAATGATAAATTATTATCCTGAATAATCAATATGTAATTTACAATAAGGTCTTGATATTTTCTTCAGTATGACCTTAAACTAGCAGCTGAGCCCATAAATCCTGCAGGAAAGTGTTCTACTGAGACCACAAATAAAGGGAAGTGAGGGTTGTTGTTTTTTTTGTTTGTTGTTTTTTGATTTTGCAACCATGAGTCGCCCCCTGGTGGCTCATAAAAAGAATCCTCTTTTAAGCCACTTCTGTGATGGCTTCACTTTTTTGGCTTGTAAGCTGCGTCTGTCCTTATGCTCTGACAGAAGCAGCTGCTAGTTGAATCAGATTAATTTGATTGCTTTCCTTTGCTGGCTAAAGACTTTGGTCCAATAATTCACATTTTATCTAATATAATGCAAAGAATGTGATAAAGAAATCCCCTCATTTCATTTATATTTGCTATATAATGAATAACTTAATTCATTATTTATTCTTTTAAAATAACTTGTGTCGTCTGGTATATATTTGAACACTTTGGGACTCCATAGTGCTTAGCCATTATGTTAACAGCTTCGCTCCACTCGGCCTGCCTTTCCACACACGCTTTATCTGCCACGCTGCTCTGGGTGGAGCACACATGATTGCGTGTCCCAGTCTCGGATCTGTAAAAAAACAAATTGTACATAATCCTCACTTTAAGCTGGTGCTTGGCCTCACATCCACTCAGCAATAAAGTGCAATAAAAGCAGAAACATTATTTTATAGAAAGCCTCTCATCTCAGTACGTCCCTGTCATAGCAGAGATGTAACATTGCCTCAAGGAGAGGAAATGTGACTGGGATTGGAAACATGTTCGTGAGGGTTTCTGCTTGTGAATGTTTAATAGCATGCTTGACATTTGCTGTAGCCTTGCCTGCCTTTTTTTGTCCACCAGGCCGCTCCTCTCTCTTCCCTATTGATGACAATCTCCTTGATGATGGCCATGGCAACCAGGGTGTCCCAGGAGTCCTTGGCTCTCCCAACTGTTACCCTCACCAAAACGGGGAACGCATCGAGCGCTTCTCTCGTAAGGTGTTTGTGGGAGGTTTGCCTCCTGACATAGACGAAGGTGAGTAAAGAAATGATTTCATGATTGTGTTGTACTGCCAGTCCTTTAAAAAAAAAAATTCTATGATTTATCTCCCTACTCACGTGTCACATGTCAAATTCCCTTAGATGAAATAACCTCAAGCTTCCGCCGCTTTGGTCACCTTGTGGTGGACTGGCCACACAAAGCAGAGAGTAAATCCTACTTTCCGCCTAAAGGTATTAGCAAAAGCATCAAGCTCACCTATTTATGGCTGGTTACCAGTATTTACATTGAGCCTGCACGGTATTATGATATGATGCAAATAAGTGAATGTCATTTGAATAGTGACAAACCAAGGTGAGCACCTTTGTTATACCCTCTCTTGTTCTTATATGCATGTACACTGAAGCTTTTTATATACGTTTCCTAGGCTATGCATTCCTGCTGTTCCAGGAAGAGAGCTCGGTGCAGGCTCTGATTGAAGCCTGTATGGAGGAGGATGGGAAGCTTTACCTGTGTGTCTCCAGCCCCACCATCAAGGACAAACCTGTGAGTTTTTCAAAAATTGCTTTTAAATCTTTAAACACTTAAATAATAATAATTTAAAAGATGGGTGTAGCTTTTGTGTCTGAATAGTGATGCCAACATGGAAGTACCTTAAAATGACTTCATTGTGTCTAACAGCCAGAGCGAGGGACTGATTTGATTGCAGGCACATGTGGTTAAAGCAGCAGAAAATATAGCAATATCCATCTTTAAATATACTCTGTGGCACAGCAGTACCAGCTCGCTGTGAAAAGAAGCTACATGGGCACAATTTTCCTATAGGGGGGAAAGGTGATCTAATCTTGTTAGACTTTGACACCAGGTGCAAATTCGTCCTTGGAACCTGAGCGACAGCGATTTTGTGATGGATGGATCTCAGCCTCTTGATCCCCGCAAGACCATCTTTGTGGGCGGCGTCCCTCGTCCTCTGAGAGCAAGTAAATATAGCCAACTTGTTTCTCTACGACTAGTATTGCATCTCAATAGAGATGAATTCAAGCTATGCGTGCAATGATAACTTGGACTAAAAATAAGCTTCTGATAGCTTCTCTTCTGTTCTCAAATCCAAATCTTGTATCTGTTTTTTCACATATTTAAATTCATCTTTTTGTCCTCTGTTCATTTTTTTACTAGTCGAGTTGGCCATGATTATGGATCGCCTCTATGGTGGAGTGTGCTACGCAGGAATTGATACAGATCCAGAGCTCAAATACCCAAAGGGGGCAGGACGAGTGGCTTTCTCAAACCAACAGAGTTACATCGCTGCCATCAGCGCGAGATTCGTCCAGCTGCAGCATGCTGACATTGATAAGAGGGTATGACCACCCTCCTTTCATTAATATTTCCCCCGTCTTCGACTTTTTAGTGTATATCAGGGTTTCAGAATTTTTTTTGTAATTAAATGTAACACTTTTTGAAACCTCAAGAAAAGCAGCACACTATCAAAGGAATGTGGTCATTTGGTTTATAGAAACCTCTGTGCTCAGTGTAGTGGTCAGTGAAGCACTTTGTTTCACTGTTCAGTGTTGCTGGTATTTTGCATCTGTCAATGGCAAACAGTTTTTTCTGCTACTGGCTCTTGTTTCTTCTCATTTATTGGATTGGATGATTAAAAACTAAAGAAATAAAACATGTTGGCAATTTAGAAATGTGCTAATTTAACAAACAGAGGCCCCTGTAGCATGTGGAAACACCAACCCATTCTACAATCAGCAATCATTCACTCAAATAAATGAAACCAATCGAACTTCAGTAGATTAAGGTGTTTGGCATTGGCAGAGAAGATTTAGCAAGTTTTTCATGGGCACAACCCACATTCTCAACGCTGCTGCCCCACCCTCAAATGTATGTTACTTAGAAATGTAGCACCGTTTAGGAGAAATAAACAGGTTTTCCCACTTGTTACAATGTAGACATAATCAGCCAAACTTCTCTAGCTTTAATGTTGCACATTTGTGGGTTGTGACATTGTATGCAAGAACATAAGATAACATACTAATTCCATAAAGGAACAAAAGATGGTAGGAATCTACAGTATGATACATATTTCACTAAATATTTTATTTATAAGCAGAATCTCAAAATTTTACTAACGATCACAAATAAAAGGCTTCGAGATATTTTATTACCGTAAATTAAACTTTTCAGACTTTAGGAATCAGTAGGATTCATGGTATATGACATAGTTGTCATGGTGATGTGTAATTTATGCCATTCGCGCGTGCAAGTGTGTGTGTATTTGCATCTTTTTGTGTGTTATCAGCATCCCTACAGAGAAGAAGGGGCTTGTTGTTATGATAAGCAAACGCTTGTTAGGGCTGGTTAAATAAGGTTTTCTCTCTGCCTGTGCTTCGTTAAGCTTGTTTCCTTCGTTACAGCTGACATTATGTCTCGTTAATGTGCAGGTGGAGGTGAAGCCCTACGTCCTGGATGATCAGCTCTGTGATGAGTGCCAGGGTGCTCGTTGTGGAGGGAAATTTGCTCCTTTTTTCTGTGCTAACGTCACCTGTCTTCAGTACTACTGCGAGTTCTGCTGGGCTAACATCCACTCCCGTGCCGGACGGGAGTTTCACAAGCCTCTGGTTAAAGAAGGCGCCGACCGCCCTCGCCAGATTCACTTCCGCTGGAATTAGAGATTGCGACCCCCAATTTCATGGTAACACAGTTAGGAGAAAGGGAAATTAAACACTGGCTAACAGGAAAAAGAGCATCGCTCAGCCTCTCCTGCTTCCTAAGCTATCAGTATAATCAAGTACATAACACTATACAGTATATACTATATATCTATATATCTTTTGTAGCAGCCAAACACCACAAGCCTCAGTTTTTCACCAAAACCCCCCGCACATCTCAGGCTCTGACAACTCTACAACTCTTTTGTGGTACTTTCATCTTTTCTAAGAGGAGATTTAAAAAACAAAAAAAGAGATTGATTTTTGTAGCTTTTTTTATTATCATTATTTTTGTATGTGAGATTTAACGTAGATACGGGAATGTTTTTGCATGGGGGCAGCTTGTCTGTCTGTCTGCTGCTAGCCACCCCACGGTGCGTTCAGTGCACACTTGTTTCTGGGAAAACCTCGATTCTATAATGTTGACGCCTGCCCCGGGTCATTAACCAAAGGTAGAAAAAAATATAGGAAGCTTAAAATTGACACATTTTCTGCCACAAAGCAAACCGTTGTTTGTTTGTTTTTAACTTTGCCATGGGCTCTTTCTTCTTGTTAGAGAGTTTATTGAAATGTAAAAAAAAGAAGACACTAGGGTTATTTTTGCGCTCATACTGACCCGTAGAGTGATACCTCAAAATACAAAATCTGCTTTTCTGCAACTGTATTCAACATTTATACTGACCGAGCTATTTCAGAAGCTTTGCTGCTATATATACATATATATGAATAGATGTGTAGGTATTATATTTAATGCCATTTATAAACCTGAATCATGTAAAACGAAATGCAGTATGCACTCGAACACTTCTGGCCCCCATTGCCATAGAAAGATTTAAGAGTGCATATAATGACAATAGGCTTAGCTACACAAATAGCATGCTGGATATATGTCAGGAAAAAACAAACCACTGAAATAATAAATGCAGACAAGACGTAACAATTCTATAATGAGTAGCATGATCATCAAGTACAAATGCCTAAGAGGGGAAAAAAAAATCTGACTAAGATAAATGAGTTAAAAAAACATATTTAAACTTGCATGCTTTGATGTTTCTCTGTTGTTTGATCTGTTTACATACTAACAATACAAAAAGTGATATTGGTTCTACTGTAGACTTAGTGGATGCCATCACGTTGTCACGTGGTGGCTTGTATAGCAAAAAAAAAAAACAACAAAAAAATGCCATTGAGAAGCAGAGTGGTGTTCAGTGGTTTGTGTTTGTGTGTCGTCCATGTGCTGTGTGACTGTTGTTAGTGTAGACTGAGGCTCTAGTTTAGCTATCAACAGATTTCGTAGAGAAGAATGACTCCACCTTCACTCTTCCTATCCATATCTTTGTGTGGTTCCAAAGGCTAATCTGGTGTAGCTTCACCAGCAGACCAGACGCAAATGAAAGACTTTGTCAGTTTGGCGTGCTCCGTGTTATTGAGCATTGTTCAAACACACTAAACTGCTTATTTTGTAATGTAACAGTCAGGCTTCCATGCTGTGTGGCTGCAGCTCCATAAATCCAAGGAAACACTGACGCAGTTACCGGAAGATGAAGCATCTCCACATCTCCTCACCACACTTGTCCACGATGAAGACAGTGACGCGTGGTCTTCGCTAAAGATGATCTTTTTCTTTTTATTGTTTGTTTAATTTCCTCCTCGACCCTTGAAAAACTCTTTAGGGACAATCTTTTTTGTGAGGACGGTCGCCCAGCCGTCTGTTTGGTACTGTACAAGTGTGTCGCTCTCGTGTTGTCGTGGTTTTAGTGTCTCATGCCCCTGTGTGTGTGCTCCTCGGTATCAGTGTTCAGGCGTCAACTGTGTACTGTTACAAAACCTTAATGGAACTGAGACTAGTTGAGTTGTGTAATTGAAATTGTTTGTGTGAACAATTTACTCATCACTGGCCCTTCAATATGTTGTTTTGTTTTGTTTTTTTTAATATATAATATACATTATGCACTACTTTTCTGTATCCCTGCTCGTTTTCCGTCTCCTTCACCCCTTGTGTTTAGAAGCGAATTATGAAAGTTTTCACCTATTTATAGGTAGAATTTATCATATTTTTTCCCCATAATGACTTATTTAAAGTGTAGCGTGGAGCAGTGGTCTTAAGTTAGCTATGTTTTGTGTGAGTAGAGCAAAAAGCAAATGTTTTCTAATATATTCTAAAATGGTCCGGGTGTTACGAGGAGCGGGAGTCGGAAAGGCGTCGCGGCCTGCAACCTGATGGGAGGTGAAAGCTAAAGACTGGGCTCCCGCTCTGGCCCCTCTTCCTCCTCGTGGCTTTGGTTCTCATGGCGTCTGATAATGTTTGAATATCGTCACCTGTAACACTTGACTCGTGCTGTTTTTGTGAGCTTCTATTTTCTATGTTAAACACTGTTACTTGGTTCTGTATGTGTCCTTGCTTTTGTAAAAATCATATTTATTTCACTATTTTTGTAGACGAAAAAATGAGTTGATTTTGATTGTATTTTTCTATTTAAATAGGACTGATATTTCGATTTTATTTACCCCTAATTATGTCCAAAAGTTTTGGTTGACAAAGAATCACATCATTAGTAACATCAAAGTTTTTGATATACAGCTGATTCTTATTTTGATACACATGACACGTTTGATTTAATGGAAGGAAACATGAAGGTTTTATTATATTCTGGGAAGACACTTGAGATTCTCCCCTGTTGCATCGAGGCCCCAGCTGCCTGTCCTCGTAGATGCTCTGAAACTTGAATATAACACATTTTGAAAGGCTGACTAACCTCGAATCTGTGTTGTGATGTGCAATACTGTTTCTAATGTTTGTATAAAAGTAAGAACTACAGTGTAAACCTTTTTAATGCAGATTTATTTTTTTCATTGCATATTTTGCAAATTTCTGATCCACAGTGTCATTTTTTACTGTCAGAAAAAGATACCCCGTTTTTTCATTGCAAGTATTTTTAAATCCAGATATCTTTGTACTGATGTAAATGATTGTAGTTATTTTGGATAGTGTTTTGCTAACAAAAGGAGAGACTTTTTCATGCATATTTCTATTTCTTTTCATCTTGTTTTTTCTCACATTTTCTTTTATTTGATAGTAGCAGGTTCTTGGAATAATTTTTCATATTTAAATGTCATTGGTATTATTTTGTATTTTTATGTGAAAAACACTATATATAATTTAAAGATGCTAATTGCTAAAATATTATTTTGAGTTTAATTATTTTTAAAGCTAAATATTTGTAATTTTATTGTTAAAGTGACTAATTTCTAAATCAGAGTTTGTGTGTATAGCTTCACAAAAGTCGTTTATGAGATGTTTGGATTGTAATTATTACTGAATGGTTCTTTGATATGCAAAATGAATATCATGTTTATTTTTATTTTTGTTTTTGTATTTAAATGGGGTGTTGATTACAATCTCTTTTTCTTTCTTTCACTTCCTGAATAAAGACCCATTCTGTTTGGACATGAGTTTGCTGGATATCTGGCTCTTGCAGACACTTTTTATACTTTAACTCGTTCAAACACATCATGACATGTAGTATCCAGTGTGTTATTGCAAGTGAAAAGACTATAGTTAGAGATTAAAGGTTAAAAAGCGATCATATCCAATAACTATTAGCTATTTTAGCTTGTCGTGCTAGCAGATTAGCATTTGCTAATTAGCGAAAACACTGACTATACTGAAGTTGGAATTTATCACCAAAGTGTCGCCTCTTTGTTAACTTCAGGTTGAAAGTCGTATTTTTAGCATTTTTGTGTTTTGGGGGGGTTTTTTTTGGGGGGGGGAGTTGGCTGAGAGGGTGGAATGCTAAGTCATTATTGAATGTTTAGCTTTGCTAGCATGGTATATCTATTGACAATGAGGCCTGCTAATTCATATTAATAAATATTTCACTCACTAAATCTGGAGCAAAGACATCTTAGAAAGGGTCTAAGTACAGTTACAGACAAAGCAAATGAACAGTTATATCTTCTGTTCATCAAAGGAGATGAAGGTACAACACATAGTATTAGGGTTGCCAACTCCCTGAAAAATAAATAAGGGACACCTCGTGGCCAGGGCCGGGCAACCCAATTGTCTTCACCCTTCCCAGTGTGGTGAATTTTCTAGCTCTTTTTTTGTGTGCGAAATTATTTTTTTAACCATTTGACTTGAATTTGATTTAAGTAGATGTGTATTCTTTGTGATATGAACACATGTGAAACAAATGATCATTTAGCCATTTATTTTTAGCTCAAAATGACAACAAACAGGTCTCCTTCTTAAACAGAAGCCTGTCATGCTTAACTTTTGAGAATATAAGTAAATCTTTCTTTAAAAGAACTCTGTCCTGCTTAACTTAAAATAATAGAAAACAATAGAAAGAAAAACATTCTTGTAACAGTGCACATTTAGTGCATTTAGTACAATTGGCTTCAGTTGAGGTATTATTTCAGCTTTTCTAATGCTAATCAGCTGCTCCTGTTTGTAAACCCACTTGCTCCCATGATTACGCATCTTAACTCATCATCATTATTCATCTATGTATTACTTTTATGTATTAGTAATAATTAGTTGTAATGTATTAGTTGTAATCATCTATCCTTGCAGTTGTTTATTACACAAAATAAATTATATTATCACACTTCTGGCCACATAGCGCTGATATTCACTGCACATGCCCATATTAACTTTTTCCAGCCAGGTGTTTTCCTTTTCCCATTCTTCCCTTTCTCTGAGGGGAACAAACATTGCTGCTCTAATGCTGGGCTTACACTGTGCAGTTTTAGGCCCATTTTGAGCCGATTTTTGAGTGATCGGACCGATTTTGGCCTTCATCGTGCATCGTGTAGTATACGTGGGGTAACAAGAAGTGATTAACACCTCACGACCAGCTCCCGATCATCAATCGCTCGTGAGGGTCTCACCACAGCCGCTCACACTGCTCGCGCGCAAACACGTAAACGTTGGTGTAAAAGATGGAGCGGCACGGCTGTGCAGCCTGTGATCTGGACACAAGCGATGGAGGCACAACTTGTAGAACTTTGGAAAGCTCATCCGAGCCTTTTCGATGTGGCATCACAAAATTATCACGACCACAACAACCGTGAAAATAGTTGGATTTACACTGCTGCTCAGTCACAGCTGCCCAATCAATGTTTTTCATTAGCAATTTAGCAAAGTTGATGGTGGTGGTGTGTGTGTCTGTGTGAGTGTAAGACGGAGAGAGAGAGCGCGACAGATTTTCTGTTATAACCTTCATTTTATGGAGGCACAGTGTGAGGACTCAGGTCGCATCAGAGCATCGGGCGGTATAGTGTGAGACCTGCATCGTGACCTACCAACTGCGAGTCAATCGTGCAGTTTGAGCAGGAGCTGAATAACGTGACTGAAAAAAATCACACAGTGTCTGCCCAGCTTTAGGTTTACTGTTGTCCGAGACTTGCACCGCAGTGTCTGCGTTTGTTTCCCTGTTGGCCATGCTTCTTGTTGTGGTCATTTGTTGTCTTCCGGTATTTTCTCCGTAAGCGACCTTTCCTCGACCAATGAGATGAGTGGTAATCTGAATTGTCATACTCGTAAGTGTGCTGTCAGCTCATTGGTCACAAAGCAGGAGAGGGGCTGGGAATTATGTTTTCAAACAAAGCGTTAATTCCATTAAAAGTTATAGACTACTTTTGATCCTCACTGTATTACGGGACAAAGTGCGTCCCTTATTAGCTCAATACGGGACGTGTACTTTTGTTTCGAAATACGGGACGATTCCGTATTTTAAGGGACGGTTGGCAACCCTACATAGTATGGAATATCACACCCCTGCATGTTCTGGCTGAACATATTCATGCCTTTAAGGCAGATGACTTGCAATAACGTATGTGGCCCTGCCTACACATATACCCCCGTCATCAGTCATTCCTCAGTTTGATAGCTGCTCATCACCGTGCCAAACTCCTTCAGGGAACCAAAGTTATAGGCACAACTGTTGGTCTCCTTTCAGTCGATTAACGTGGTGCAACACATATAGCATGGGACATATATACATGGAATCAGACCAGCACCACATGGTAGAACCAGCAGAAAGGACAGAATAAACCACTGAATGGGCTGTAACATCCCAACAATAAAACCAAACAAGTGTGTGGTGATGATAAGCTAGCTGCAGTACAAATAGCACACTCACAGGGAACCCTTTAAAAAGCGCCCATGAAGTTGCCATTCCACTGGTGGAATGTGTTCCTACTCCCTGAGGCAAAGAGAGACATTTGGTGCCCTACACTAGGGAGATAGCTTCCATTAACAAGTGGGAGAGCCTTTGTTTAGACAGAGCTCTACTTCTAGCTGGATAGCAAAACAGAGAGCGACTGGTCACATAAGCACACATCCTGAGCGCAGTCAATATAGGTATGTAGCACAAACACACCAGACCCAGAGAATGCCACCTCAGAAGCTCAAATGACATAAAGGTACAAGCTGCAGAAATAACCTTTTGGTAAAAATATGTGCCATTTGGGTGCAATACAACCTTGAGACCCTCAGAAGAGAACTGCATGCATAAGGGGTGTACAAATAAGTCATGAAGGTGATTTGGTACCATATAGATAAAAATTTAATATAAGGTCACCCACTTCCTTTACACAAGCCAAAGCAAGAAGCAATGCAGTCTTGTATGAAATAAACCTCATATCCACAGATCTAGTGGGTTCAAAATGGCCCACAAAGGGCCTCCAGCACCAATATAAGGCAGTAAGTGTTGACCCTGAAGAAAAGAAGATCCCATACCTGGAATCAGCCCACAGGGTGCACCCTCCATTCCTTCACCAGGGAACAAGGGTGGCTCTTAGTGACAGAAAATGAGTGAGACAGCTTTAACAAGGGAAGGGAGCATGTGCACATGTCATCACAGGTCATATGCCTCAAAGGTGTAAATACAGGTGCCAGGACACATGGGGACGTGATATCCCATATTATACGTGTTGTACCGAGTGAATCGACTGAAAGGGAACATAGTTAGATAAGTGCTTCTAAATATTTCACAAAACATCATCACAGAACTATTGAAACCCTGCAATCTTACCAGAGCACTGAGGTCTACAAACCAGCTGCTCTCAGACATTCTTAGATCCAGGCTTAAAAGCAGAAGCAACAGAGGCTTTTCAGTAGCAGCTCCTAATATTTGGAACAATTTACCTTTATACATAAGAGCTGCCCAGACTCTCAACCATTTCAAAACACTTTTTAAAACCTACATAATAACAGTAATGAGGGCAAAAGATTTTCTTAGAAACATTTGAAAGATTTCTTATTGAGTCAGTTCTTGATTTTCTGGCTTGATAGTCTTATTTTTGCATTTTATTTTTGATCTTATATTGTTATTTGTATGATGTATGTATTTAGCAGGATTACCACCTGTAAAGCAAATTGCCTTCAACACAGCAACGTGACAAAGAAATAATCCCAGTGGTCCGTCAACACACTCACATGTCGTGCTTGGTGCCATCTAGGGGTAAATGTCAGAAATACAATTAAAACTGAGGTCAACTAGACACAAATGAGTTCTGTCATTTATTAATCTTGAAGATTCCAGTTTCTGACTTTTACACTGGGAGTCTCACTCTAAAAGAGTCTTCATCAATGACATAATGGAGTTTTTTCTGTATGCACATACTGGGCTTGCCTGGCTAATGGCTGTTTGCCTTAGGACATTTATGAGGCAGAAAGAAGGGAGTGGATAAAGGGGAAAGAGGGAGGGATGGAGAGAGAGTTGCACTGAAAGGAGTCCTGGCTGCTGCTTGTGCTGCTGTACTGCACAAGCAGCTGATCTCTGCACATAGATGTCTGACAGTAACATGTTCAACGGGGACTCGAATCTTGTGAAAGATGAGAATCTGAGCAGATAGGAGGACGGAGACACTCAAGAGTGAGAAGTTTGACCTGGTTTGGGGATGAACAGCTGCCAAGTGTTGGGTAAGAACATGGATTAAATGTCTCTGTCTACTGGTTTATTATCACAAGACGTTGTTCGTTCAGAATGTTTATAAAAGTGATGAAAACTTTCTGCTCAAAACTGAGTACTTCTACCCACACGTGTTTTCTAAGCTTGTATAGTCAGATTGCATTGCAGTGCAATAATGCAATGAAAAGAAGTTACATGTCTAAAATGTCTGGTGTTTGTTTCACATGCATCTATTTCTGACATCAGAAACACTTTAGTAGCTGTCGGTCAAAGTGGATGAAAACCTTTATTTTCAGTAAAGGACTTTTTTTTTTTGGTGCAAAGTCTGCCTCGCTCTACATGTTTACAAGAAGATCAAATGAATGAAAAGAGCTTTTTTAGATCTTCATAGTAAATAAACATCTCTTAGGGAGCGCTATGCAGCAGGAGCTTTTAAATAACGCATATTACTAATGCGACTTAGAAGGACTGCGTTTATCTGTGTTTGGATGTGTTTGCATGCACAACACAGCTGTGTGTGTAAACAGTT